TGGCAGTGATTATCACCATAATTCTCGGCAAACGGAGGGTGTGTATCGCAGTGGTTCTCAATTCCAACTAAAAATCAGAAACACCTACGAGCTGAAATGGTGGTTCCTGGGACAGGCCCCTACACTACCTAGATCAAAAACTCTGGAGGAGTCCCAGGCTTAAAAGTTCTTTAGATGATTCTAGTAAACACTGGGTATTACAATCTCAGATGAGTCATTCAGAAGTGGCTCTCAAGTCTGCCATAAACCCCTTTCTCCTCCACACTGGGAAACACTGCTTTTAAATGAATATGAGATGGATCTAGATCAGAATCCACTGCACAACACTATCATAAATTCCACAGCCTTGTTCTCACTGGGACCAATGGGTGGGAAGCTCCACAGCTTTCCAAAACAGCTCTAAGTCTCTACAAAAGCAGTTTAAAATTGTTAGCACTATTTGAAGCCACATTCTTTCCTTGTGACCACGATAGAACCCTAGAAGATATAAAAAATTAAAATCTATAGAAAATGGCAGGTTATTTTTAGAACAAAATACTTTAGGAAAGTCTTCAGGCTAAATACAGTATATACACCAGTGTATGTTCAGTATCTCCAATTCCACTCCTGCTTCCAAAATACTTAATATTTTACATACAACCTCACCAATAATAAAAAAATTGGCAAAGAGAAATAGATGCGAAGCAAACCAAGAGATCACATTCATGCTCATCTACACTGAGGATTAAGCCACATTTGAAAAATTACAAATTCAAAAATAGAGCTCCATAATCTAAGAGTTGCTTTTTTTTTTTTTTTAATGCTTAACATTTAGTATAGTCTTTTCTTTATTGGTTGCTTGCATAGGTAGTAAGAGCATGCTTTCTGGATTAGATGGAGGGCATGCAAGACCTTTTCCATTACTGAGGGAATCATGAGTGGTCATGCCCAAAATGTGGCTGCAAAAACAAACACTTGGGGAGTTGATCCAAAGACAGCATGAGACACTGGGCGACACTGGGCGTTCTGTTAAATAAAGGCATTGGACTCCCCTGCCCAAAAAAAAAAAAAGGCAGTCAGGTTTAACAATAATGTTGCCTTCATGAAATTAAAGACAAAGACAGCGTGCACACTCACAGCCATGTCTGTCTGTGTTTTGTGTTTACGACAGGCACTGGTTTGTCAATAAATTTCACCCTTCTCAATTCCAAATAATATAAGCTTCAATGTGCCTTCAGAATACATTTTAAACTGTGCTTATGATTTGCATACTATTTCAAAAATTCAACCCAGAAACACTATCTTCGTATCCAAAACAACTTACCTAGGAAACAATAACTTCAACTGTTCAGGAATTTGTCAGAATGAAATGTAACATCAGATGTCCATCTACTTCTAAAAACGTGTTTCTCTGAAATAAATAAGCTTTGTTCACTGTTCTCTGCTCCGATTGCCCTAAGGTGCCACTACTGTTCCTGACGTTTTCATGATAGTTCATTTAGAGGGATGACAATTCCCCAAACCCAGAGAAAAATCCCAATATCCACCTCAAGACAAATGGATGACCAAATTCTAATGCAAAGTGACTTGGATTTTCAAGTCCTCCAATAGCAGAGGCAGCTCAGCCTGAACCAGCAAATCAAAGAGCAGGATGTCTGCAGAGATGAAGGGCACTTTTGGTTTCCAGACAAAACAAACATGCTCAAGAGAACCATGAGCCTTAGCCAGAGCCAGAATCCAACGTATCTTTTTGTCGAGAGGACTGCCRTTCCGTCCAGCCCACCGCCAGCCTTCCCAGCCTCATGAGCTGTGCTGGCAGGGCTCTTTGGCTACAGCAAATTCCTGAAACTTCAGCAGGTCTTTAAACACAAAACAGGCCCTCAGTGAACATTTGCAGAATGAATGAAGGCTGGAAAGGAGGATTACAAAAGAGCTCGGGCAGCCTCACAGACAATTACAGCATTTCAGCACACCACAAACAACCAATTCCACTGCTACCAGGCCAGCGTGCTATGGCGTACTTTCAGTTTGGCTGCTTTTAGGATGAGAAAATACAAAAGGCAGGAGAGGGCCTACCAGGAAGGGCTCCTCAGTTTCCTTGTGCTTCCATATTCTCTAGGGGGTTAACAAAGGTGAGGCACAGGGCTGTCTTAAGGATTGAGACAGCCCAGTGCACTGGATGTTTACAGAAAGAGAAATCAAGAGTAATTTTTTTAAATAAGCAAACATTCCCAATGCAGCCCTACTGTTGGTGACTACGTGGTGCCTCCAAGGAAAGGACTTCTGTCATCAGGCCCATTGAGGTGTCAACCAGAAACCCAGACCCACCACCCTTAGCAGATGATTTTAACCCCAAAGCACATAATGATCACTGTGCCAAATATCACTGAGAATTAAAGAAAGAAAGAAAGAAATACTAAGTCCTTGACCCTAACAAAGAACTAAATTGAACCAAGTAACAATACTCCCACCTGGAAGAGCACCTTCAAACTTTGGGGAAGAATTTCCTTTTCTGTGGCTTAAAGTTGTAACTAGTCGTTAGGAATAATGGAATTTTCATTGTTTACCAACCCTGGAAATAGAAAGCTCAACGATGCCTGGCCAATGCCATAATGCTTCCTGGCATGTTTTCTATTTAATTAAACCTGAAGCAAGGACTAAATTCCATAGACATATAGTTTATAGATTTTATTATATTATAGAAATTTTATTTCTAGATCCCATGGAAAATTAAAGAGATTTGTAGAGTTTTTTTTTTTTTAAAGGCATTACACATAATGGAAAATCCATTCCTATAGGACTCACGAATAAAAATATTTACCATTGTAAGAATCAAACTAGTTTCTATTAATGCTTAACTGACTATGGAAAAAAAGTGTTATTAAAACCCTCTGCCTAATCAAAATATAATTCTAAGACTGCTTTAGAGCTTCTGATAGATTTCAAATGAAATCTACCTAACAAAGACAACAGGTTCAAATTAGACAAACATTCAATTCCTGATATTGATGATCCCACATTTGTGCATCTTTTTCAGGAAATAAAAGCAATACAGGAAAACCAGAGCAGTGGCTGACTCGGGCGGGGCTGTTGGTGAGGTGGTATCAAAGGCAGCCAGCCCCGCAGTCAGGCCACAGCACAGGACAACGCTGCTCGGGAAACCACCGAATCCACACAGCACAAGGACAACACCTAGTGAAGTGTCTAGTACAGGGCCCGGTGCCAGGGTGATGGCTCATGCTGAATGAGTTACATGGAGCACTACAGTAACCTTCACGAGTGGAATAAGCAAGTCTTCACCACTGCAAGGGTCGAAAATTCCAGCTACCCTCAACATAATGGCTCCTTGCAAGTTACCACCTAATGCTCAAATTAGCAGCAAAATAAAGTTAAGTAACCTACTGGAAACAGTTCCCAAGAGGTATTCATGGAAAAAAATAAGAGAAAGAAAAAAGAGGGCAGAATTCACAGCTATGCATGCATATGTGTTGTCGTTACTTCATACACAGCAATACTGAAAAGGAAGGCTATCAACGAATCTGTGCACCATGAGTTCAGGAAGAACCTGAATAGTCTATGACCAAAATAATAACAACAATAATAATAATAATAAAAAGCAACATAAACTTAGCATTCTATATTTTATGGCAAAGTGACAAATGCTATTCAAGGAGAATCAGGACTATGATTCTCCTTATATTTAAAAAGCAAATAAAACAAAAGCTAAAATTGAAGCAGGAAATGATTACCAGGAGACCTCCAGAGAGCTTGAAAAACTATAGATTTGCTTTTCTGTGCTATTTCTATGAGGTGCTCCTTTTTCTATATAAGAAATGCAGTTTGCACTGACACTGCCAGATGGAACACACTCCAAACCCCGCTTGTGAGGTCTGGGCGTGCGATTACATCTTCAGCACAAAGAAGATATAAATGAGTTACTGAAAAGCAGTCAGAACGAAAACTGACAAGCAGGATCCAAAGTGCATCTGTAATACTGTGTCACACACTGCTTCCACACACCATCACTGACTGTTGGCAGGAAGCGACTTCTTTCCTTTTCAAGCTATGAGATGAGGGGACACAAGCATGCAGATGGGGGCAGCATGGAGCCTTCAGCTTCTAACAGAAAAAGCAATACCAGAGGAGAATGGTAGGATTCATGCCTCCAGTTTAGAATGCATTTTTTTCCAGGAATCTTTCAAAGGTGTTAACTGCTCTGCTACAGTTCAAAATCCAAATGGACTTAGCTAGCAAACATAGAAGGAAAAAAATTTAATTAGTGACTGGATCCTGGCTATCCAATTTGCTACCTCTTGGAACACATCTCAAGAGTTAAGACAGGTGAGGGTGCTGCACACCTCTGCAGAGATAAAGGTAGTCTAAGACTTTGCTTCTACCTCTGTAATGTCTCTGTGGCAGTAGGAGAAATGACACAGTCACCCACATGTCACCTTCCTCTTTAATCCATTTACTGATGCACATCCATCCTGGACTAGCTGAGTATAGATACCTKAGAAACATTAGTGTTAAAATATTGCCCTTTACAAAGACTGGTAAATGGGGCACAAGTGCAGAAAGCAACAGTTTTATCTCGGTTTGTTTCATATGTTATTGTCACAGTTTTTAGAGCTTCTGGTGCCACTTGACAATCCGCAGTGTGGACAAATCCTGCTCAGATGAAACCCAAGTCAAATAATTCACCCTTCCACACACTAATGATAGCTTAACTGGTTCACAGGTTTCAAGACCCTAGTGTCCAATGAAAGTCATTAGAGTTCTCTAGAAAGAAATATATACAATTGCTAAAGGGACTGTCCGGGTATTGTCTATAATTACTCCAGTTAGCCTGGTATCAATGCTTTGCCTATGGCTGTTATTTGGTTCAATGGCAGAATAAGGCGACGCTTTTAACAATTTACAACTGACTTCTCCTTGCATACAAACACACACTCACGCACGCGCACGCACACACAATCAGGCACATGACCCAAAAAATAACAAAACAAAAGCATAGAGGGCTTTGGTGGGAGAGGAGGGGTGCTAAATAAATAAACATCTTTACAGACAGAACACTTAGGCTGCGGAACGTCACTGAGGTTTCTGAGAAGGCCGTGCAGAGGTCTGCATGCTAGAAGGTAACTTTTTGGAGGCTTTCTCAGCAGGCTGCTTGCCGCTGGGAGATGAGGGAAGTCCGGAATCCAGCTGGGAAGACTTGGACTTGTGAGCAGAGAGCAGGGAATGTTTAGCGGAGGCAGGGTCCTTAGAGACAAGCTGTTCCTTTCCAACTGCATGGGCATTTGGCTGCTGGGGGCCCGGAGGCTGGGGGCCTTTCTCGGCCTTGTCATCCCTGGCACTCTTACTGTCTGACTTGACGGAGCTGCCCCCTGTCTTTTTGGACAGCAAGGTTGTCTTGCCGAGGTCCGTCGACCGCCTAGTTTCCTTCTGTCTCAAGGCTGACTTGAAGAAGGACAGCCCCTTATCCTCAGACTTGCTGTCCCTCTTCAGACCAGAGCGCACGCTCGTGCTGGGGGAGCGCAGGCTGGCCATGGAGGAGCTGCGCACGTGCTTGCCGTCACCTCTGCCCTCCCCAGCTCTGGCCTGGCTCACCCGAGGGGAGCTGGGTTTGGAAATGGAGGTGACACTGGCTCTGTCGGATCCCAGGCTTTGTCTGGAGCCCTCCCTACTCAAGGTCCGGTCTGAAGTCCTGTTCTTCCCAGGAGGGAAGGGGCCCCTGGTGGCAGAGCCTGAGGCTTTTTTRGCAGATGTAGAGGAAGCAGTGTAAGCGAGGGCAGAAGCCGACTTCTGCTTCTGTGGCGAGGGAGACGATGCGGAATCATGGGACTTGGGGACCGACTCCTTTTTGGGCTGGGCAGGAGCAGGGGATGAATGCCTTCCACTGGCCCTGGAAGAATCCGCTTTGCTTCGAGAGCGAGAAGGCTTTAGAGAAACTTTGACAGGAACAGGAGAAGAAGGAGATGTACTTGAAAGAGATGATTCTTGGCTTGCCAAGGCTGCTCTCCCCTTCCGCAAGCTTTTATCTGGCTCAGAAGTGCCTTTGGAACTGGGGGACCTCTTGGTTGTGCTCTCTGGTTTCTTTGTGAGCGAGCCTGGGTGGCCTGGGGGTTTCACTTCTTTGACTGGAGAGCTGTCCACGGAATCACTCTGATCCACGTAAGCAATCTGGTTATTGTTATAAAATGCATAGGAGACAGGTGGTAAGCGATCCCCTTGGGCTAAGTTTTTGCTCTGTGTATCTACAACACTGGAGTTCAATTTTCGGGTATCTGACTCGTCTCTGAACACGCCCTCCATGACAGCCAGGGGGGCTCGGCCCACAGCCTTGTGTTCTCGTCGACTGTGACTATCACTTACTTCCTGATAACTGCTGGAAAGGTTCCTCAAGCTGCCAAAGCAAGAGATGGAGACCTTGTCATCTACTGCCTCCCCGATCTTCTCTAAGGTGGAGGCAGAGCTGTGAATTGGAGAGTCCCCTGAGAAGCGGGAAGGAGAATTGGAGCGCATCTGCAGCTTCGCAGACAGGGACCAAGAAGGTCTCATGCAATTTTCATTAACAGCCAAGGGGCTGGTCACAGACGATCTGGAGGACAAGCTCTGGCGCTGGACACTCCTCACAAATGGCCTAGTTGAAAAGCCACCTAAACATGGCAGAGAGAATTCTGTTAAGCTAAACCCACAAAAACATTCCTGTAGCATCTTAAGATGGTAAAGGTGGACCCAAAGCAGGCCACATGTAATGATGGGAGTATGACTCTCAGTGTCACCTGTCTGAGGTCACAGCCATGTGACTTCAACCTTCTGAAGCCCAGTTCCCTTGTCTATAAAAGAGGAACCTTCTAGCTCAGGGGTAAGCAAACCATTCTCTGTACCTCCTGGCTCTCCCTCCAGGTCAGCATACTTCCTGTAAAGGCCCACCAGAAGTATGTTAGGTTGCATGGATGACCGCTCAACTCTGCCACCACAGCACAAAAGCAACCACATAGGTAACAAAAAAATGGCGTGGCTGCGTTCTAAAAAAACTTTACAGAAAAAAGGCAGCAGGCTGCAGGGCCTGTCGGCTGCAGGATGCTGTGTGCTGACCACTGGTCTACTATAAGGATTAAAGAAAATCTCAGAAGTCCTGTGCCCAGCAGAAGACCTGGCACTTCAGATGCTCATGAAATGGAAGCTGCTCATCCAGCTTCCTCCTCCTCCTGAAGCACATCTGGGGCTCACAGAGGCAAGTCCTGCCAAGATTACACAAATAATTAAAGGCAGAGCTAATACCAGAACCCCTCACCCCTTGGCTCAAATACCACCTGTAAGTTAGTCTGCAATCGTTGACTAGTAAAGTGGAGAAGAGCTAGAGATTTCAACGGAAAGAACTAGAAACTTGGATACAATCCGCACCAAACCTAAGGGACCTAACACTTTCAAAGAAAACCCTCATAATTAGAACAATATGTTAGTTTGTAGTGTCTTAAAACTTCTAAAGAAAATATTCTAAATTGAATTTTATACATACTTGATACTGTAGCTGTGGCATTTAAGAAACTCTGCATAAATTCCTAAGAGGCAGCCTCTGTTCTGTGGGCACTATCCAGAACCATTAAATGACGATAATGCTTAAGAGGATATTGATTCCACCAACTACACTGTTTAAACATAGATCGAGGCAACCCATATCTAGACTTATCATTAAAGTGACAGTGAATTCTAAGTTTACAAGTTATGTTGAATATAACCTTCACCTAAACATGCAAAGGCTTACTAGTTGGCTTTTCACAAAATGTCAGGAGCTAGAAAGAGCTTAGCAATTATAGTCCAATATTCTTATTTTACAAATAAAACAGCGGTAAGCCAGACAAGTGGCAGAGCTGAAACCCTGACACAGATCTCCTAGTCTGCCACCTTCTTCCAACCTCCTGCACTTTGAGCTCCATTTCATTTTCTCAGAATTATCCATCATCACTAGAGACAGATTATGGCGATCGAAATGCTGGCCACAGAGTGAGACTCGCTGGAGGATGAGTCACCGCCCTCATTACAGAGGCTGAGCTCACCCTCTGCTCCTTCCAGCTCTCAGGGCAGTGGCTGCCTGATCTTTCCCACACCACCTGGGGTCCCTGTTAGGACCAAGGTCTATCCTGCCATTACTCTAGTGGTAAGTGAAGGCTTCAGAGTTCAATTTTTAATCAGATTTGCCCAATTTTTATATTGTGATTACGCTCAGAGTAAGAAATCTGGAGCTGAAGTTGCCAGGGGCCTCACTGCCAGGCTGGGACTCACCAGGTGGCCCTGAGCAAGCACAACTTCACTGAGCCCTTACAGCCACTCTGAAAATTATAAAAGCACTTTGAAAAAAAAAAAATGTGTACATTATCATATAGTTAAAGCTTCAGCCTCACACTAGACCATAAAAGTGGAAAATAATGATGTGGATAAAGTCTTGGGTCATAGAGGAAAAGCCAGTGACCATGTCCATAAACAATGTTACTTCTTACAATCATAACTGCAGCTAGGCAGCCCCACTCCTACCCACTTTGAGTTCTCCCGCGATCTCTGTGGGACTTTGTTCCTAACCCTGAGGCCCCCTGCACTGTGTCTGTATGTTGCTGTTTTGAAAACCCATCAGCAAAACCCACACCCACCATCATCTTCACTCCTTTCCGCAGTCATTTCCATGGACTTGAAGAGTGAGGCCAGGGAGGTTCATCTGGAGGAGGCCGCTGAAGTCACACTGGCTTGCTTGCTCCCTGGAAGCCGGCTCACCCAGTGCTCGCACAGGGAGGAACTTGTGGAGCCTGTAGAAAAGGAGATGGGAGCTGAGGTCAGCCAGGTCCTGTGGCCAGCCTGCACTGCCCATGCCCTCACGGACGTGCTGCAAGCCAAGCTGGGGACATCTGATGTCCTAAGGACACCGTGAACTCCCAGAGCTGATTACCCCAGTGAAGATGAAGAACAGAAGTCAGCTCCTGCACACAGGCAGGAATGAAATGCAAGCACAGGGATGACCACTTCAGAACGCAGTATGTGACCCATAAAAGTTGGCAAAAAGACGGGATGTAGACAATAATTCATGTCTGTTCATTCTACAAATATGGATTAAGCATCTACAGAGCATGCAACTATTCTGAGCACCTGTAGAAAGATTTGACTCGAGAAGAAAGGAGCAATGTGCACTATTCTTAGCTTCACTACACACACACCTCCTTTCAGGTCCATCAGTCCTATCTCCTATTTGTTCCAGAAATGCCCTTCAATATACAATAGTGCAACAGAAAGTGCTCTTGAGGTTGACTACATGAAGCAGCACTACTGGCTCAGCAGACAAGAGCATGTCATTTCTGAGCATCTCTGACTCTGGTAGAACACCCAGGGAAGCCTCAGAGCAACTGAGTTCCCACTTCCCGTCAAGGAAGTGAGCAGCTACACACTGCGTGGAGTTTGGCTCAGCAGGGCTCATTGCACTTGAGGAAGGCATCTTTTCAGCCTCTTTGAACTCACCTCTCCCAGGCTTGGAGACAATCAGTGGTCACCATTCCTTACCCTACCCTGTCAACACAGTACCATGTTTTGTCCTCTGCCACATTCTCTTAAAGTCAAACTTTACAGCAGGAAGCACATGTGCCCTTGTTTGGATTATGTCTTGTGTCTGCATGTGTCTTGTGGGTGGGTGCTGGTTCCTATGCTTATTAACATAACAGGCTAGATCCTACGGGCTAAATGCAAGCCATCTGTTACAGTCATCAATTCCTTCCCAAAGAGAACAAGTCAATCTTATTGGAAAAAAGAACTATTTCTAATGGTACTCATCGACCCTTTACAAAGTGTTCTCACATCCATTACCTAATTTAATGTAAGCAATGATCCAATGAGGGAGGACTATGACTATTACACCCATGCTGGGTGATGACCATGTGGCTCAGGTGGACCATGCTCCAAGGTAACCCAGGAGAAGGTCTGAGAGCAGCAGCCAGGCTACTGACCCACTCCCCCGTGCATTTATCCCACAGGCACAGGCGCAGGCTGTCTGAGCCAGGCTCTGCCCACCACTGCGTGGACTGTGCTAGTCCATGGCTGCCACACAGTCCACCCCACTTCCTTAATTGCAATCAAGCTGGTTTCCAGACTAACAGAAATGTGAAGATTAACCTGATCAAACTGACAGTCAAGAAGCCTCTAAGTCATCCCCTAGACCATGAACTACAATCTTCTGCTCTAGAAAAACCTGCCCAAGAACAACAGTCAGCCTTACCGGCTACTGAGCTGTTAGCTGACCACGACGGGATGGCTGTCCGCCTTTGGTAGAAGAGGATATAGGCTGTCTGCGTGCACACCTCATCCTCCGACAGCTGCTGCACATCACTGTCATCGAAGCAATACCAGAGGCCATCCACAGAGTTCTTACAGTATGCTGCCAAAAAGAGACCATGGTCAGTACCAGAGGAGACCACGCCAGCTGTTCCATTCCATCCAGAAACCATTACTTTGGCTTATACAACTAATTCAAGAACTTTTTAAGTCTGCACGTAGTAACACAGAAAGAAACTTTTTAATAAATCCAAATTCCATATCACACTCAAACAATGTGTTTAAAGAAATTCCAAATTATTTCATATAGTTCTATTTCACCTTAGAAAACACAATATACTTATTTATTTAAACTACTGGGTCTCAACCAGGAACAATTTTGTCCTACAGGAGACATTTAGCCAAGAATGGAGACATTCTGACTGTCATAACTGAAGAGGGATGGGGGAAGTGCCCAGCACCTGGGGATGCTGCTAATTATCAACAATGTACAGGATAGCACCCCACCACAGAAGTACCCAGCCAAAATGTCAATAGTTCCAGGGTTAAAAATCCTGACAAAAGGGGCTGGGGTTGTGGCTCAGCGGTAGAGCGCTCACCTCGCACATATGAGACCCTGGGTTTGATCCTCAGTACCACATAAAAATAAACAAAATAAATATATTGTGTCCATGTATAACTAAACAAATATTTTAAAAAAATCTTGACATAAGCATATTACAATATTTCGTGTTTATGAGAGATATAAAATAATATTAAGAGAAATACTACTACTAACCCAGTATCTAATATTCAACATTTGTATACCAAGAATTTCATTTAATCCTGAGATTTGTTTTATTATTACTCCCAATTTTATAGAGGCTTAAAAAGACTACCCAGCACATCCACCCACATGCATTTGCTGAAGTACAGAGTCAACTTCAGTTCAGGTTTATATGATACTTGAGCCTGAGCTTCAGCCCCTGCCCTGCCTTGCCTCCCCAGGGGGCAACACAACAGCGCTCCACAGAGGGTCCCTGGCAAATTGAGAATACACAAGCTCATGAAGGCACAAGGCCCTCTCCCAGCTCAAATCCCAAGCTCAGGTAGAAATAAAGCGCGTTCAAGAACCAGCAAGAAAAAACAAAAACTTGAAAGTTTGGTGTCGGGGCTGTAGCTCAGAGGTAGAGTGCATGCATAGCATGCACAAGGCTTGGGTTCCAACCCCTGCACCAAAAAAAATAAAATAAATTCTCAAAACCAAATTATCCTGAAAGGATATATCAAAGGGTCTTATAAGCTTGATCCAAAAAGGCACGTTGTTATCACATTTCCTAAAAATATCCGTTTACTGGAGCGAGAATAAATGAGTGCTAGAACATTTAGCTGGATGCTGAAACAGACTTAGTATACCCAAGGACAGGGCACCTAAGGTCCTGAGAGGTGCCAGGAGTAAACCCTTAACAGGCCACACACTTTTCTAAGTATGGCACTATAAGAGATGAAACCCAGAGAGGGAAGGGTTACTATACCAAACAGGTCCTCAAATGAAGGGCAGAGGAAGAATCTACAAATGTGGGGAAGAAAGTCCTCTGCAGCTGTGAACTCATCAAGACCCAGAAGAGGAGAGAAATGAAGATACAAGCAGCAAACAGCTATAAAAGCAGCACTCAAGTGGTGCCAGGTCAGGCCTGCTGTACACACCAGCCACTGGTGAGGTGGTGAGAAGTGGGAGTTAGAACTGTAAGGAGTGGGGAGACATCCAAGAGAAGGGGACAGATAATTGTGCTCTAATTTTGGTCTACTCTGCATCACGGTGTGGAAACTAAGGTAGCACAGTAACTCACTAACGAGAAAACAATGTTATTAGCAAAATAATTCTATTTGCTTTTCTTCCTAGCCCTACCTTCTGAGGTGTTTCCTAGGCCAGTGCTACTCAAATTGTAGCAGGAGATTGGTGCTGTCCCCAAAATGCAGAAGCATTCAAAAACTCATAGCAATCCAGTGCCGCCATAGTGTTTTGCTACATTTTTACAAAAAGAGCTGGCTTGTGAAGGATTGGAATTTTAAAATAGAAAAAACAAGGTCTTTATCGCAGATGATTTGAGAAGCTCTGTTCTAGATCCTTGCACAAGTTAGCCATACACAAACCACATAATTACAGCTAGACCCAGTGCAAAACCAAAAACACATCAGAACAGACACTTAACAAGAGAATCCCTTTAACCCACAGTGCTGGGGTATTTAAGATGTACTCTAACATTCTGTATACCAGGAGAGCAACAATGTGGCTTACGCATGGGAAAGGGGAAATAACAAAAATATCTGAGCACCTCCCAGGGAACACGTCCTGTGAGAAAGGCAGGCCTGCTTCCTGCACACTACCGTGGTCCCACCGTGGTCCCCAAGTCAGAGTAGGCTACATAGCCAAGGCCACAGAGCTGGGAAGATGGGTCCAGCTTCCAACCAGAACTGCTTTCATTAAACTACACTGCCTCTAGGTTTTTCAGGCATTTTCCAAAGTCTGTTCTATGTAAAGAGCAACACGATGTGATAAAATATATCACTGTCCTATTTTTCCCAATAATTTCTTGCTAGAAAGCATGCTAACAAGCCAGTCGACATTTTCCTGATAAACAGTGATCTAAATGGAAGATGGCATCTTTACCAAAGCTGAAGTTGGATGAACAGCAATCAGGGATGTTGGCAAAGACATGACTACATTAGGTAATTAGTGAAGTTAAATCACCTCTAAGTCCCTCTCTGTTCTAAGATCCATGAATCTATGATTCCACAGCTCAGTGTCCAAGAACACAGATATTACTAGTAATGCCACAAGAGAAACGATTCAACTCAACACAACCTTAACAGAGGGGGCCCCCATGAAACAGAAACCCAAAACATGCAAGACACCAAATAAAACATCACAATTTAAATTGGGCTTAAGCCAAAATACAAAGGTAAAATACATTTAAGCATTTAACTAACATTTTGCTTGACTGGAACTTCCCTACCTTCTGTTTCTCCCTGCAAGTGGTTCAAGGCAATTCAAACCACTCCATCATGAGACAGCATCTCACTAAGTTGGGAACAGTCCTTTCACAAACAACTGCTGCTTACAATATTGAAATAGTTAAAGAACTTGAACTAAACAGGTTTCAAGAACAAGAGACTGCAGGGCTGAGGATGGAGCTCAGTAGCACAGCACTTGCTCATCATGTGCGAAGCCTGGGTTCAATCTCCAGTACCCCCAAAAAAGTAAAATCAAAAAACAAGAAGTCTCTTGCATCCAGTCATTCTCCTGACCTCATACCCTCCCGCTGGGGGGAAAAGCAGGCTGAAGAAAGGAGCATGAGAGGACCTGCTTCCACCATGTTGATGGGAGGGAGGGCGGGCTGCGGCTACCTGCTATGGAGAGTCTCGGGGATTTAAAATACCAATTGGAAGAGACCAACCTGCCTTCATCTCCACTACCTTTAAAAATCAAGGTAGGCAACTGTAACATAAACGATGGAGTTGATGAAGAAATAAAATCCCTGAGAAGTATAGGTGAAATACAACGAGTATAAAGAATGCAGAAATCTGAGTCTTGGAAACCATATCCAGCTATACCAAATGAACAAATCACCCTCATTTCAACCTTCACACAAACAGATGTCCAAACAAGAAGCCCTACGGTCTGCCTGGCCTCCACATGCATGCTTTTAGCCCAGCACTTCCACTTCTGAGACTCAATCTCAAGGAAACACAGAATTAAAATTCAGAAAAAGTGCATATACAGAAAGATGTCCATCTTATTAGATTAAAGGTTAAAAGCCAGAAATAATATAGATGCTCAGCAATGGGGGATGACCATACAGTCACGTGTTGCTGAACGACAGGAATATGTTCCAAGAAACACACTAGGCAATTCTGTCTGAACATCCTGGAAACCTAGTTCCACAAAGACAACTCTGACATCATTAAATGATACAAACATATGGGGCCACTGTGGTACGGGCAGCCCCTGCACCCCACCTCAGCCCACTGCTCACCACAGAACATACCTTTACCACAGAACCTACTATACGTGATGGCTCCTTTTCTTTGCGGGAAGTGAGGGGGTTGGTGGTGGGTACCAGGGATTGAACCCAGGGGTGCTTAACCACTGAGCCACATCCTTTTTTATTTTTATTTTGAGACAGCATCTAACCAAGTTGTTCAGGACTCACTAAATGGCTGAGGCTATCTTTGAACTTGAAATCCTCCTGCCTTAGCCTCTTGAAACCACTGGAATTACAAGCATGTACCACTCTGGTGTAATAGAGCTCACTGCAAGCTAAATATGCGGTGTTTAATAAACGTTCGACTGAACCGCACACACCAGTGTAGAATAACAACACCAACTCCCTGGAAAACATAGCTGCCATGCGTGAGAGGGCTCCTGCTCACACTAGAACACTAATCAATGTGAAAAAGGAGGGAAATTTTGATACAGGCTACAACACAGATGAACCAGTCTACAAAAGGACAAACACTGTATAAATCCACTTGTGGGAGGCAGTTATGACTGTCAAATTCAAGAGACAAGTGAGTGTGGGGGCTGTCAGGGCCAGGGAGGGGAGAATGGAAAGTACTATATAACAGGACAAGAGTTTCAGCTGGAAAGATAAAACAAGTCCTGGAGAGGGACAGTGACGATGGCTGTACAACAATGTGGGTGTATTTAATGCCACCCAACTGTATGCTGAAAATGGCTAACACAAAATAAATTTTGTTATGCACATTTCACAATTTTTTAAAATGTTAGCAAAGGTTGCTTAAGGGATCAGACCACAGATGATGGTGTTCTTTCTAGTTTCTAAATTTCACATGATGAACACGGCTGCTTTTATAAATGAAAGGTAAGTAAATGAAGACACTGTAAGAGCAGTTCACAGTCACCCTAAGTGAGGGAGAAGCTAGGGCCTCAGAAGAAGAGCAAAACCTAAACTGGGGAGTGCGAGCCAGGGCGCGAGGGCAGTTCCTCGGCACAGCGGACAGTGCTGGGACACATGCTTGCCATTCAGGCCTGGTAGCTGCTGCGCCTTCCAGCTCAGGAGGAAGAGGAAGAGTTCTGGTAGAGACCTGTGGCATGAAACTGCCCTCACAGGGGCACCCTGCCCACGGGAAAAGAAAGGGAGGTTCTAAAGCCACGTCACCCTGTCACAAGCAACACCCGCCTGAAGGAGCCGTGAGCACAGACACGCGGGCCTCTCGCACTGCAGACCTGTGTAGTGCCCCCCTTGCATGGTGCCATGGTGATTGCACACAGCATACAGGTCATAGATGTAGTCCTCAGGGTCCCTCCCGAGTCCATAGGGCCGCCTCCACGGGGACCAGTGGGATGGCAAACTCCAGCTGCTCTGGCTTCTCTTGACCACATGARGAGTCATGTCCAGGCCAGTCAAGGGGAACTTGACCATGTTCTGAAGTTTCACACGCCTGTCTCCTTCCTGTTGCAAGAAGAAAAACAAGTTCTGATGATATTTTAATGTAAGCAGATGGCAAATCAGGTGAGCATGGAATGTGGACCCTAATCACTGAAGTAGTTCCCAAGACACGGATAAAACAGGACAATAGATGAACAGTTTTAAGCAGTTGGAAGAACCAGTTTTAACACAACTAAAAGTGGCCTAACCACTGGGGGTAAATGAGCCTCCGTGAGTCTTCATTTCCTTATCTACTAAGGATTTTTAGGTTTTTTTCCTTACAAAAAATTGATAATTTCACAAGATTCACCCTAATACCTGTCAGAGGCATGAAAATCAACAGTGACAACCACTTGAAGGATAAGACCCAGGACCTTGCACAGAAGAGTCAATAAGCAGCATCCCTTTCCTCCCCACCTCCTCCAACAAGTGCATTAAAAGTTCATGCTGACTTAGTTTGACATGTTCAGTTAGTTGACAGCTGGTCAACCTGCACTTTCCATTAAGCCCATGGAAAATCCCCGACACCAACCACTAGTTGAACAGACATTTACTGCATGTGTCCTGTGTCCATAGGAATTTTAAAACTAACCAGGCCTAGATACGCCTCTCCCAAGGAGCTCGACTCTACCAAGGAAAGGAAAGCACTCACAAGCGAAAGGGAGAGAGGGTCCTGAGAGCCAGGAAGGCCAGGCTGAGGAATGTGGGCCTTATTCTGTAGCTAAGGGGACATGCTGAGGCTTTTATGAGGGAGGTGATGTCTCCCGACTCATGGGTGAAGAACTGTGTGAGCAGCACACAGAACAAGTTACAGGGGCAGAGTGGCGACATCAAGAAATCAACCCAAAGACACTGCAACTGAGACCACTGGAGAGTAGCAAAGCACCTACGCTGGCAGGGTGACAGCTGGTACAAGGAGACACATCAGGAGTAAGGGGGAGACAACCACAGCCACACAGAAGTGCCTGCCTAGAGGAGAAGGCCCAGAAAACAGTGAAAGGCGCTGCTGCTTTTCTGGGTCTGGGTTTCTGAAAGGGATGTAGATATGCCGTCAAGGGAACCAACAGCAAAGGAGCAGGGAGTCAGAAAGGCTGGGGTCCAAACCCTCAACCAGGGTTCCACCTGCAGAGCCCAGTAGTAAGCAGGGAAATGCCATCCTTCTCTACCACAGGAATTCAACTCTGAGCCTTGGGGGGAAAACCCCAGCCATGGGGACCGAGCGCATGTCACCTCTTCCTCTCTGCCTCCTTGGAGCCCAACACCTCTCCATCTATTCACACCTCCCATCTCCAGGCCAAGATTCCACCTGAAGCCAGCAATGGCCTTCCGGGATGACTGCAGGGGCCTCCTCCAGGCCTCCCTGCCCTCATTCTTGCGGCCTCTCTTGATCTCTTAAAAACAAACACGGAGTAGTGCTGCTTCTCTGCTCAAAGACCTCGCCAGAATGGGACATTGCCTCTAAGGGTCTGCTTGGACAAGAAGCCCTGCTCCTATCCCAGTTCTCACCACCATCCGACGCTCCGCAGCGCAGCCCCACTGGCTCACTTTCAGCCTCTCCAAGTGCTGCGCTCCTTTGGGCCCAGGCTCTGAACACACTGCTCCCTCTGCCACTACCAGTGTGAACCCCTGCTTTCCTCTCACCTGGAAGACACCTGCTCATCTCTCAGGGACAAACCTTAAAGCCGGCCTCACAGATTCTGCCAATGCTCACCTCCCATTTGCCTCTCTTACAGTGGGGCTGTCTAGAGCAATCCTGGACTCAGGGAATAACCTTTTTGGAAAAGATTAATCACGAAGTAATACAATAAACAGCAGAGCTTCTTTGTATATATTTATATTTTTGACTCATCTCCCCAACTATACAATAGCTCCTTGGGAGCAGGACAAGTTACTTTGGAAGGACATGGACAAGAAGAGGAGGGAAGTGGGAAGGGTTGTCCAGTGCACGGCACAATGCACAATCCTACCTCTCCCAGAAGAGATCTCTACTTACGTTTTTTTCCCCTTAAATACTAAAGAAAACATAACAACATTTAAGCATAACATTCACAAGTCTAAAGCAAACCTCGAGAACAAAGTAAAGGATCTGCAATATGAACTAAAATATTCAAGATTTAAAGGGTCACAGGATGCTCAAATTTTGCTTTGAGAAAGAACACAAACCCAAATAGGGGTAAATATATGTCTACCATCCAGACAGGGTCAGGGGATCAACAGGAACACCAAAGAACCCACCCACAACACCCAAAGGGGGTGTAAGAAACTTGGTCCAGCTGCATTTCCCTTACCTGTCGAAACCTCTTGAGGTGTATGATAAGCACGTCAGGCAGAGTCCACAGGCTCAGCGTGATGCTCCCCTGCTGCAGCTGCTTGCAATGTGGGCAACGCCAGGCATCATCTGGGGCCAGCTGAAAACAAGGAACATGACTTCAGTTCCAGACCCCTTATCGCGTGGCTTTGTTATGGAGACAGAAGTACTAACTGCTTGTCCAGCGCACGGCACATCGCACAATCTCTCTAGACACTGCACAATGGAGTAACACAATCACAGCTGGTACCTGGCAAGAGTTGGCACCCAAACAAGTGCTGAGATTATCCTTCAAGGAGAAATAATCAAACTAGTAAATGCCACAGAGAGGTTGTAGATGTCACAAACGCACCCCAACTAAGCAGAGCTCCAAACTCAACTCTTCATCTTATGATGAACATGGACCTTTCCTCCTGCTCCTGTATGTCCTACTTCAGCAACACCAGTACTACCCACCAAAGATGGAACATGGGTTCATTCCAAACTCTAGAACCTTCCTACTTCCCTCCTCCTCCTCTTGTCCATGTCCATCCAAAGTAATTCTCTCTCTGCCATTTCTCGTGCCTCCTCCTCTCCACACCCACTGGAACCACCTTGGTTCCAAGTCCTCACCTACTCTCACCTAGACTTCTTCATGTCTCCTGTTCTCTCCCACAACCTCTGACTTGCTCCAAACAAGCCACCCCTCCTGCTACCAGCAAGATCCTTCTAAACATCAACCTGAGGCCCCAAATCCACATGTCATCTCTGTACGGAAAAATTTCACAATGAGGACATTCATTTATAGGTGCCATAATGTGAGAAATTGTAATATGCTCTGGAGTTCAGAAGATAGATCTGGTGTCATCAATGTGTGAGGTACGGGAAGCCTTGGGAATGGATGACATTCCCATGGGTTTGGAAGATAAAGGTGCCAAGGTCAGAATCTTGGGGGATGCATATTTTTTTTTTT